ATATATATATACATATATATATATGTAAATTAAAACGTCCTTCCGGAGTGGGAGACGGGACTTCACTTCCAGCGCCCGACAACTTCTTACGGACAACTTTTGAACAAATCACCCATCAAATTTTTAACTTTCCCCCTTTTAGCGCCGACAGAGACAAGCACCCAACTACTAGTTCAAGTGGGTTGCATGAGTATAACTGTAAGTTGTTGAACAAAGAATGCTAGAGTACAAGTACTTGTAGAAGTTTTTCAAGTGATCTAGAGGCAGTTTTTGGCTCTCTGTGACTTGAATTTCTTTTTCGCCTTACGAATTGGTGAATTAAGCGTGATCACATTAAATAATTCTTTCCAATAATGAATCTTTTACAACTCTCCCGTTGGATATAAATTGCATCCTTTAATTACAAAAGAACGTATGATCAAGGGTATATGGGCATTATTATTGTTGTTCATGTATAAAGAAACTGTGATTCTAATCACATGAAAAACTAGAGAAGAAAAGGAATATAATAATAAACCGATGCAGGCTATAAAATTGGAAACTATACCAGACAATGCAACGACAAAGGCTGTAACAATGTAAAATGTTTGTGACAACGTAGCTATAAAGGCTGCAGTTACAGAAAAATAGGATAAAAAGAATCAAGTACAATACTGAAAACGACAAGATTGTGATGATTCAGCAGTGAAAACTGAAGTCATGAAAATATAAAGAAAATGCCAAGATAATACATAATTGGTCTGAGTATTTCATAATAATTGGTCCGAGTATTTCATTCTAACATTTCGTAATAATTACACAATCCCAGCATAGTTTCACACAGGAAACATGCAAAATCAAGGAAAAAGAATTACATTAGTCCGCCGATTTACAAGAAGACAAGATAATAATTACTAAATAATTATAATAGTTCACAAATTTATGAGTAAAAAGTAGAGATCCAATGAATAAATAAGATGGCAGTAGATGAGGAAGGAAAGAGTAAAAATCAAGATGAGTATTAGAGTGGGTCCCAACTCAAGAAAATTATGCAGCCATTTCACAAACTTAATGACGCAGGAGCTTATTGGGGCGCGGCACTGTAGCTACTACAGTACTATGGACAGGGTACTGAAACAGCTATGGTACCGCGGTCACCTTCTACCCCCTTTTTCCTATTTGATTCCTTGCCTAGTCTAGCCCTTCCTTTTCTAGCACTTTCCTTGTTTACCTCTTTCCTTTTCCATCACCTTTTTATTTCTATTCCCTACTTATTTTATCTACTTTTTTTGCTTTATCGAAGCTTTGGAACAGGGCACTCGTGTTACTTTTCCTTTTTTTTGGGATTTTCGCAGAAGTTTTGAGGATTTTCATTTACTTAGCTTTTTTCGTTGATTTTTCTCGAGTTTTTCGTTTTTTCTCGGATTTCCTGGATGACGTTTTCTTTCGAACTTTGCTTTTTGAGATGCATTTAGGTAGCACTTTCCTTGTTTACCTCTTTCCTTTTCCATCACCTTTTTATTTCTATTCCCTACTTATTTTATCTACAATTCCTCATTATATACGGCTATTATTTGCTTTGACTAGAGGTCAATTTTTGACTTCCACATTTCATCAATACAGCAGCCGGTGCCAGTTTTCCCCTTCTAGGGCTGTATTTGACAACGAGTGGTGCTCCGGCTCACGTCAGAGGTGGTGACCTTCTCTAAGAGTTCAAGTGGTGTTCCGGTTGTAGTTATATCCCGCGGGAATATTTATCCCATTCAACTTCTACGAAATCCCTTTCCAGCCAGCCTCCGGACAACACTCCCTTAGCTGTCCCGCAGCCCATCGCCCTTTGTCCTTCGTCTACAGCCACTCTACAAACACTCTCATAGTTTTCCTACAACCACCTCCCACCTAGCTTCCTCCCACCTTGCTGCCATCTCTCGTTGTCGCCTTCCAGCACCCAACCGAACCCTTTCCTGCCACCTCTCAGTTGTCCCAACCTCATGGAATCCCTTCCCCCGCACTATAGCTGTTGTTCCAGCCTTGTCGAACAAGATACCTGCCACTTGATCATTACCCCAGCTCATACAACCCCCACACCACAGTTCAAAACACCCCAACCTTCTCTAACTGCCGACCAACACTCCCCTTTCTTTCCCGGTTGCACCCACGACCAAATTACAACCTCTTTAACTGGTCACCACTCTTGGGATCCGCTTTCATTGAGTTTGCTATTACTGTATATTTGTTGTTGTATTTCCTTTTCGTTATGATCTTGAAACCGCTTATTTACTTAAATAATAATATTTGTTTTTCTGTTGTGATATGGATTAACTCCGTTATCATTTAATCTAATAAAAAGTTGAATTAAAACTCCAAAATTCAATGTGAAATAAAATTGGGCATAAATCGCTTGAAAATTGGTCATGCTCAACTTATATATAATCCAGTTTGACTACTTGGATTATGTCAGGTCTGAATTGGCTGAATGGCCAAACAATAAGATCCTTATTAACCACATCACAATTCACAAATATCTATATGAGAGTAAAAAATTTTGGTCAAATTTCAAAAATTTAAATTGAATTTTGAAATAAATCCTAACTCAGAAAATATTACATTAAAATTCTTTCTAGCACCCATTCAATTATTTCCAACAAAACAAGACCCGGAAAATTTTTCTTTAGCATTTTATAATGAAAAAAATAATCAAATTAAAAAATAGTAGAGACCTACTTGTTTCATTTCCAGAATTTCCACCCAACAAAATATGCAACAATAAAGATTCACCAAGTACATTAGAGCTATTTATATGGCCACTTACCTTACGAAAGGTCTCTGATATAGGACCATCATTTTCCGATGTCATCAATTCTTGTTCGACTTTCTCAAGCCCTTTGCTTATGGCCTGCATTTCTTCTGCTAAAGCTTTTAACTGAATCTGCAAAAAGTCGGTCTTTCCATTGGTTATTTACCGATTATACAAACAAAAAAATAATCTTGCAAAATCAATATACCTTAGAAGCAACTTCCAGGCTAACAAGATCCTTGTGAAAATCAAGAAGCTCTGGGAGCTTTTCAGCAATAACCTAGAGAATAAGGGTAAGAAAATGCATGAAAAAAAAAAGCTTCTAAAGAAAATACAAATAAGGTAGATCAATAAACATGGCAAAAAAACAGGCATTTACATACATAGCACCCAATTCCTAGCTCCTAAATTTTACTTTTTACATTTATAGCACCCAAATCATTCTTATCACATAAAAAATACCACTATTTTAAAAAGTGAAATACACCATTTTATGCATAGGTAAAGTACATGTACAATATTGAAGCTTAAGTGCTAGGCATAAATACATAGGGAAATTGAGTGGTAGGCGTACATGTACAATATTGAAGCTTAGGTGCTAGGCATAAATACATAGGGAAATTGAGTGGTATGTAAGTAAATCTTCCAAAAAAAAAAAAAACCTAAGATTTTACATTCTAACTAGAAGATAAAAGCGCATATCATAGCGATGTAAAGCTAAAGCATGCATTTACTTCAAAAGAAAAAAAAAAGGCAACCTTGCATAAGTAATGCATCAGTGTCATCTTATTGTTTCGTGCACGTGTATCAGTCAGTTTGAGAAGGCTATCCAATCGGAACCCAATTGCAGAACCTGGATAAATAAAATGAAAATCCTACTGAAATTCAAGAGAATGTATGGAAAAATGACTTCAATATATAACATCAGAAGAACTACAAAGTATGCCTATTAACAAGATTAATGCATGTCTCCTAGGAGAATTTCAAATAAGAAAGATTCTTGTAATTTTGAAATAAACAAGGATGTTTTCAGGTAATGAAAAAAAAACAAGTGATTAAAGAGAATGGCACAATGTTATGGAATCAAAGAAAATAAGTTCAAAGACCTGAATATGTTCAAAAACTGTTAGGTAAATCAGAATGCTAAGATATGTTAGCAAACATGTACAAATTTACAATAATGCATGTAGTAATATTTTAGCAATTGAAAGGTGTTAGCTTGGAATGAACACTTGGAACATTAACAACAATGAGAAACTTTAAAGTTAATAAAATCCGAAAAAGTAGGCTTTTGGGCTGAGATATTAAAGATATTAGGTTAAACATGCATTATTTTACATAGATATCTTTAAAACACACTTGTAAGCCACAAATCATGGTTAAGGACAAAGAGATTGAACACGAAACAATGAAATCAATCAGAAGACATTAAAAAGATTGAGTGTGTTGTAAGATCATGAAAACAAATGAATATAACATAGCAACACTTTGACCTGACAAACTGAAACAGCCCTACAGTTGGAAACAGTGAGGAAAGAAAAACAACAGGATTGCAAGGTGCCTCTGTTTTTACACTGGGAGACTTTACCCAAGCTCCGAAAATAAGCCACGTGGGGCATTAAGAGGCCAAACCAATATTGAATAATATAAAATATATAATATGCAAATATAGCATAATGTCTTAAACAATAGCATGCATCGATATAATGCCTACTATCGACATAAAACGTCCATGCCAAGTTTCTACTGATCACTCAACAACAACAACAACAAGCCTTTATCCCACTAAGTGGTGGTGGGCTACATGAATCATTTTTCTTAATTACGTCCTATTGAGTGTCATATACTCATAACTTCATTTAAGTCTAATTGATTAACATTATTTTTTATACAATAGGCAAGTCTATTCAATTCCTAACCTAAGTCAAATTCAAAACATCTACCCTCCGAAATAGATCATTAGATAGTCAAAGTTTAATGTAACCAAACCATCTAAGATGACTCTCTCCAACCTTGCCTGCCACTGGAGCAACGCCAATCCTTTCATGGATATATTCATGTCGCATTTTGTCTTTAAGTGTAAAGACATTCATCCACTTAGGCATTCTCATCTCAAGAACACTTAGTTTTATGCTTCTATTTTATAGGCTAACATTCTGCACCATCAAGCATAGCGGGTTTCACCACCATCTTCTAAAATTTTCTTTTAAGTCAAAGCAGTACTTTTCAATCACACAATGGCCCGATATAATCCTCCACTTCAACCATCCAACTTGAATTCAACTAATAACATTTGCATCTATGTCACCGTCACTTTGAACAATAAACCCAAGCTATCTAAAACATTCACTCATTTCAACGACTTAATCACCCATTGTTACAACTCAGTCGATAGATCTACTACTACTAAAATGACTTTTCATGTATTAAATTTTAGATCTACTCAAACAAAAGACTTTAGACTCTAAAGTTGACCTCCAAAATGATGTTGACTTAGCACATTGGTCCATAGTTGGTAGAATATGATAACAAGACTAAACAAAGGATTTTATATTGGATAAACAAATTTATGGTTCATATAATAAAGTTCCATGGGAATCGAAATAAAGAATTAAAAAATATATTTAAGAATCTTCATAGTTGATTTGATAAACATTAGCTACCATAAAAAAATCATTAAGGAACAATAAAAAAAAATCAATCAAAGTAAAATTCCACCAAGGATCATAAGGAATCCATACCCTTAGGATAAATTATTGAGATGTTAACAAAGAATATAGCAAGTGATGTATCTTGGTGTCTGTACTATTTACATACGACATAATATTAATAGGTGAAGCATCTACAGAGTAATCATCTGGTATTTGGAACAGTTGAGGAATGATATAGAAGATAAAAGGCTTAAAAATAGTAGAATAAAGATCTGTGTATGATATAAAAATGTAATATGCGTGTAATTGATAATTTTTTGTTCTATTAGCATTAAATAATAAATGTCTGAGTATGATATGTTTAAATATCTTTTAAACCTTAGACTAATTATACCTAAGAATATGAATTAAGAAAATTTTAGGACCTGTAAAGTTAAGACTTTGTGGTAAAAATGGAGAGCAAACTTTGAGCCTAATAAGGTAGGAGAATAGTATGAATGACTAAAGAAAAATTTAAAAGAATATAATTAGAATACTATAATACAAAATTCATTATAATAAAGATAATATGGATGTGTGACAAATCTAAGAAAGATAAATGAAGAAACGATCATATTAAAGATGTGGGAATTGAACGTATTGAAAATAAAAAACTGAAACATAAAATTAAGTGGTCTAGGCATGTATATAAGTGGCAGAAAATAAACTAACAAGTAGGGATGCAAATGAATTGAGTTGAGTCGAGGAGGAGCTTGCTTGAGCTCATATACTAAAACGTTGTTCAAGCTGGAGCTTGATTCATCTATTAGTAGTAGTGTTCAAGCTCATTACACTTAAAATTATAACTAGTTGAGCTTGGTTCAAGTTTAGATTTTTAGCTAATCAAACGAGCCTTATAGAGTATACTAACAAGCAGATTGCTAGTTAACTGAAAAAGTCTTGCAAGCCGTTTATTGAGTAATCTATTGAGTTTAAAAATGAGTTCTAAATTGAATAAAATAGTAAATAAACAAATAATTAAAACAATTACACAAATAGTTGGTATTCAAGAATAAAACATCCAATATAGAGATGAATAAGATCCTCACAGAACAAAATAATAAATAAAATTATAATTGCATCTAATGAGCATACTATCAACCTGAATTGAGTTTTTTAACAAACTTGTTCATAGCTTTAAACGAAATTATTAATGATCATAACAAATCAAACACCAAGCTATTCAAACTTATTTATTTATCAAACAAGTATTTATGAAAATGTTTAAAATTCTTTAATTAATTAAATAAACAATCATGAATGTGCTTTAATCAAGTAGAACCATGAATAGCTTATTATGTGTATTTAATTATTTGCAGCCCTATCCATAAGGTGAGTAAATAACATTAATGTGGACTTAGAAAGGAGAATTGGTAAACTAGAGGTAATATTAATATAAGTGCAAAAAATACATGTAAACGCCAAAAATAAAATTTACTATTAAACACTCATAAAACTAAGGGTCCATTTGGGGCAGCTTGTGCGTTTCAGGATAAGCAACAGGATAAGTTGCTCAACTTATCCTGAAACGCGACCCGCAAACCGACCGCAGGGGTCAACCCGCAGCCTGCGTTTAGTCTAAAAACTCAAACACAGTTTTGGATAAGCTGATGAAACACGCGAACCAAACAGTACGGCAGCGTTTTGAAAACGGCGCCCGCACTTATAAGCTGTCCCAAATGGACACTAAATGTGAACAATGATTTATAAAGGTGACATAAATTACTAGGATAATGCTAATGTTACTATTGATGATAAAAATGATCATATATAATTAGTAAAGAGAGTAAAATAAATATGGCAAAATGTTATTCTTTTGCACAAACATCATTGCCAAATTCTTTGAATGCACAAAAAGCACAACGTTATATTGTTATGCCTTATTTCATCAAGTTAAAAAAGGAAAAAAAAAATCCTAAGAATTGCAATGTAAATAACATATTCTTAAACTAATAATGAAAAATATACCAATGACAGAAGAGTTGTATGTAACCAATGTAAACTGAACAAACCTGACACAGTCACAATGCAAAAAAGTACAAGCAATATTATGAACCACTGAGCACAATAGTTCTGAATGTAAAGTTATGCAAAGAAGAAGACGATTCAAAAAACACAATTAAAATATTGCTAATTTTATGTTCATGAATTATCATAAAAATTACAAATTTGATGCTCTAATTCATTAGTGATTACAGTATGGTATAACTACCTCATAAATTGAGTTCAAAAATTCAAATCCGTGCATCTAATATACAATAGATTAAAAGATAGAAAATAAATTGGTATATGAATCAGGTATAAATTTAAAAAAAGATGTCATGTTACCACTGCAAGAGACACATGCTTGGCAATTGACTGACCTCGAGCAGTACCCTGATTTAATGCATTTCCCAGAGAAAGAATTGTTTGCATTACTCTTTTCAATCTGGCTGAATTTCTGATCTGATAATGAAAAGGAAATTCCAGGTAAGAGATCCTTCAAAAGAACAAATTGCATTGCAAAATGGCATGTAATTTATACCTCCTGAGATGCAGAATTAACAATGTTTAAGTTCACAGTAAGCTCGGAAACCTGTAAATATATTAAAGAAAAATATGTAACCAATAAGTTGAAACTAAGCGCAAATCAAAATATTATTCCTAACCTGTGAACGGAACTGGATTTTAAAAGAAAAGACTCTGAGCTTTGATTCCACCCGTGGGACTTTCATCAACTCCAAAAAGTACTGATCATAGCAGAGACGTTTCATAAGATTCTAGTTTAAGCACACCAAATAAAGCAACATAAAAATTTTGACAGAAAGCATCAGATGAACCAGTATTATAACCTGTCAAAATCATAATGAAAAATTAAATGTTTTAAGCATTCAAGAAATTAGAGTGTCTGAAATGATAAAAATAACTTAGAAGGAAGATGGAGTCCAGTAAAAGAATATATTTACTAGCCTGTTCACATTTTCCTAAGCGTTTTTTGTCTCCATTGAAATTCTGAAAAATTCAAGAGAAATTTGTCAGAGAAAAAAAAAAAGCACAACAAAGTGAATGAGTGCCAAAATGTATAAAAAAGAGTGTCAAAATCAACAGTAACTAACAGAATTTGATTGACTATTAAATAGCTTATATTAAGCACTTGCTTTTAATAAGTCCATTTCCTCCTTGTTTGGGCAGAACTTTATGAGGTTCTCAACCTGGTCAACATCTAAAACAGACTCATCCAGCGCAAGTACTGAACTCTGTAGAAAAAAAAAAAAACAAATATCAAATATAAGCTTTAGATTGAAACTTTAGATTGAAAGAAGTGCCATGATTCATCTTACATGAGATCCCATGTTTTTTCTGTGGTTTCGAGTGTTCACACATGATAAGGAGTAGAATCAAGACTCTGTGAAAATGCTAGTTTATTTTCTTAATAGACTCTGTGAAAATGCTAGTTTATTTCCTATTATTAAGAAAATCAACTAAAAAAACGATAGAAAGGAGTTAACCAATAAATAATAGGGGAATTTACAAACATAGCACACAATTTTTATGTATTTACATATCTCATACCTAACTTTCATATTCACACACAGCACTCAAACCTTTACTATCACAAAAAAATAGCACTATTATCTCTTTTCAAAAGTGAAATACTCCTTATGTATAGGTTTAAAGCACCAAAGTGCTATGTCTATAAATATGAAAGATTAGGTGTGAAATATGTGAATAAATAAAAATTGTGTCATGTATGTAAGTTCCCTAAATAATAAAAATAACTTTGATGCACCAAACAACTTTAAAAAGAGAAATGAAAATAAGAAAAAATAAAATACAACATGTCTAGATATATGCATAATGATTATCAAAAGGTGAACATGCATATCAATAGCTATACATATAAACATAAATATGTTCAAAATGGATAACCATATTGGGACAAATATAAACACATCCATTCATCTATGCCAGTGCACACATGCAAATGAAGCACAAACAATCACCCCCTTTCATATTTACAATCATAAATGCAATCATAGGTAAGGAAAAGCAAAGAAAACAAATGAAATAGCAATTATAATGCTGCAGTAATAGATAAGTAATATATATATATGTGTGTGTGTGTGTGTGTGTGTGTGTGTGTGTGTGTCTTACATTTATATTGTGTCAACAATCAATTACCAAACTGGCTTCACAAACACAAAATTATCATAGTAGATGAAGCCAAGTGTTTAGTCCACAGCAAAAAGTTTACAGCAGACCAAATAACCTATTAGATGTTTTTAAATTGCATTCGCCAAACAAAGTACATGAAATTTAACTAAAAAATACGATAGATTTGATGTGCACAGTAAAAAAAATATGGATACTGTCGAGATATGTCTGAGATGGAAATAAGATTGAGAGAATTAATTCTAATTCCCTTAATTAAGGGAATTAGAATTAATTGGTAATCCCTTAAATTGAGGGTATTAGAATTAATTTGTAATCCCTTAAATTAAGGGAATTAGTGAAATAGTTTCCTAGTTTTTTCTACTTGTAATCTCCTATATAATACCTTGTATTATCAATTCAAAAAGCAAGTGAAATACAAAATTATTTCTCTGATTTCCCACATGGTATCAGAGACAGGGCTCAAACCCTAGAGGACACCGCCGCCTGTTGTCGTCATTCGATCCTTTCCTCTTAGGGTCATTCGGCTCTCCTCCGCTATTCGCCTCTAGGGTTGCTTGCAGCCATTTGATTCTTTTTCGCTGCTCACGAGGAAGATAGTCAAGAAGCGCATAAAGAAGTAGATCTTGCGATCGCTCTGAGAATTCTTTTGCTGCTGAGCCGCTTCTTTGCCGCTCCCGAGATGCTGATTCTTTTATTCGCTGTCTTAATTGCTGCGATTCTTTTACCGTTGCAGTCAATGATTACAGCCGTTGATTCCAGCCTTAATTGCTGTGAATTCCTCTTCTCCACCATGTCAATGTCTGAAACCACTGTCTCCAGCAATTCCAACCCTTCCGAAGAATCCAATGTTGTTCAGAAAATTGGAGAGTTGCAGAATATTCGGGCATCCAACAGGTTCAATGGGAAGAACTATCTCAAATGGTCCCAAATTGTCTGCACATACCTAAAGGGCAAAGGGAGACTTAATCACGTACTTGGAACCGGACCAGGAAAAGTGATTCAGCCTCTACAACATGGGAAGAGGAGGATTCCATGATTATGTCCTGGCTATGGGATTCCATAGACCCAACGATCAGTGACACTTGCATGTTCTTGAATACCGCAAAGGAAATCTGAGACTATATCAACTGCATATACTCGAAGGCCTGTGATACTACCCTTGTGTATGAAATCAAGGCAAAAATCGGAGCTACCAAACAAGTAGACAAATCTGTCACAGAGTATGCAACTCTGTTGCAAAATCTTTGGCAGGAACTGGATCACTATCGAGTAATTGAGATGAAATGCCCTGATGATGTTGTCATTTTGAAGAAGTTCATTGAGAATGATAAGATATATGATTTTTTGGCAGGATTGAATGCTGAATTTGATCAGGTTAGGATCCAAATCCTCGGCAAGGAGAATACACCGTCTCTAGAAGAGACAATCTCATTAATCCGAGCAGAAGAAAGTCAGAAGAGTGGCATGCTTGAACCACATACTATGGATGGGTCAGCCTTAGCAGCAAAAACAAATCAGGAGAAGTTGAAGAATGATCTGCTTAAACACTCGGGTAGAGATAACCAAGGGAAGGAGAACAAAGACAATTTGTGGAGTACTTATTGCAAGAAACCAAGGCATACAAGGGAGAAGTGTTGGAAGTTGAATGGTAAACCTCCAAGCCGAGAATGAGGCAACCGTGGCGGGCAACAAAGGCCTCAAGCGCATATGGCAGAGCAACCCAATATTGAGGAAAATTCAACAATAAGAGGGTACATCAGTGAAGAAATTGAGAAATTGATAAGCTTGTTGGGATCTCTTGAGAAGCCTTCTGGAGCATGTTCGATAGCTCTTTCGAGTAAAATTGTTTGCATGAATGTCTTAGACAGATTCTATATCAACTCTTGGATCATAGACTCCGGTGCTACTGACCATATGGCCCCCACATCTCAACTCTTCCACGCCTATACCCCGTGTCCAAGTAATAGAAAAATTATCATGACCAATGGCTCTTTAGCTACCGTTGCAGGGATAGGTGATATACATATTATACCTAGCCTTATCCTTAAAAAAGGTTCGTCATGTACTCAAACTGTCAACAAGCTTTGTGTCCATCCAAAAATTGACTCATGATCTCAAATGTTATGCTGTTTTTTCCCTTCTTATTGTGTTTTTCAGGAACATGACTCGAGGAGGAGGATTGGACTTGCTAAGAAAAGGAGCGGTCTTTACCACCTTGAACCATCCCAGAAAATTAGGAGCAAATTGTCTTCATCTTTCCTTAGTTCCTCAAACAAAGATGTCATTTGGCTGTATCACTTACGTCTTGGTCATCCCTCTTTTGGGGTTCTAAATATAATGATTCCTCATTCATTCCAATGATTAGATATTTTTGAGTTTCATCGTGACATTTGTGAATTGGCAAAACATACCCGTGTATCTTTTTCTATTGGCAATAAAAGAAGTCTCATCTTTTTCACCTGATTCATAGTGACATATGGGGTCCTTCTACTATACCTAATATTTCTGGGACTTGTTGGTTTGTATCCTTAATTGATGATTGCACTCGGGTTACATGGCTCTCCCTTCTTAAACAAAAATCTGATGTTAGCACTGTTATACATAATTTTCATTCAATGGTTCAAAATCAATTTGGGGTCAAAATAAAAGGCTTTAGGACAGACAATGCTAGAGACTACTTCAATCAAATTCTATCACCTTACTTTCAATCACAGGGGATTATCCATGACTCATCATGTGTGGACACACCCCAACAAAATGGGGTAGCTAAAAGAAAGAATGGTCATTTACTCAACACCACCCGTGCCTTACTATTTCAAGGGAATGTTCCTAAGTCCTTTTGGGGAGAAGCCGTTCTTACTGCCACATATATGATCAATAGTCTTCCCTCTCGTGTGTTAGAAAACAAAAGCCCCATAGAGGTCCTAAATAGCTTCTACCCTCACTTCAGAACCTCAAATGGCCTCACTCCCAGGGTATTTGGGTGTATTGCCTTTGTTCATGTCCACAAACAACATAGAGGGAAGCTAGATCCCAGAGCCATCAAATGTGTTTTCCTGGGTTACTCCTCCACTCAAAAGTAATATAAATGTTACAACCCCTCTACCAGAAAATTTTACATCTCTGCAGATGTTATTTTCACAGAAAATAAACCCTTTTTTTCCAAGTCCTCTCTCAGGGGAGATTTCCATGATGAAAGATAGTACTTGTGAGCCCTTTGAACCACTTAAAACCCTTTGAACTGTGAGCCCTTTGAACAACTTAAAACCCTTGACCTTCCACATGTGTCAGCCCGTGTTGTTGAATCTGAATCAAACTGTCCTCCTGTTCCAGCTGAAATCGAGTCCTCTGAACCAATCACATATGAGTCACCTGATCCTGAACCCTTATCATCTCCTACTCCAACCAGTGTCACTCACGATTTCTCAAAATTTCCTCAAGTGTATTCAAGGAGAAAGGCCGTTCTTTCAGAAACTCAAATAGCCTCACTCCCAGGGTATTTGGGTGTACTGCCTTTGTTCATGTCCACAAACAACATAGAGGGAAGCTAGATCCCAGAGCCATCAAATGTGTTTTCCTGGGTTACTCCTCCACTCAAAAGTAATATAAATGTTACAACCCCTCTACCAGAAAATTTTACATCTCTGCAGATGTTATTTTCACAGAAAATAAACCCTTTTTTTCCAAGTCCTCTCTCAGGGGAGATTTCCATGATGAAAGATAGTACTTGTGAGCCCTTTGAACAACTTAAAACCCTTGACCTTCCACATGTGTCAGCCCGTGTTGTTGAATCTGAATCAAACTGTCCTCCTGTTCCAGCTGAAATCGAGTCCTCTGAACCAATCACATATGAGTCACCTGATCCTGAACCCTTATCATCTCCTACTCCAACCAGTGTCACTCACGATTTCTCGAAATTTCCTCAAGTGTATTCAAGGAGAAAGGCCGTTTCTGAACTGACACAAGTCCAAGAATCCAATCCACTCTAGCAACTATCTCACTATGTATCTCTCAAGCGCCTATCACCAGCCCACAAAAGATTCATTGTGAGTTTGAACACCATTGTCATTCCTAACAATGTGTCTGAGGCATTGTCAAAAGGGGAATGGAGGGACACTATGAAAGAGAAAATGAGAGCATCAGAAAAGAATAAAATATGCGAGATCGTTGACAAACCGAAGGAAAAAAAACATTGTTGATTGCAAGTGGATTTTTACAATGAAGTACAAGGCTGATGGATCCCTTGAAAGATATAAAGCAAGGTTGGTAGTCAAAGGGTACACTCAGACTTACGGGGTGGATTGTCAGGAAACCTTTGCTCCAGTTGCAAAAATGAACACTGTGAGAATCCTGTTATCATTGGTTGCTCACTTCAATTGGCAACTGCTATAGTATGATACATTCCTTCATGGTGACTTCATGGTGACCTAAATAAGGAAATCTACATGAACATCCCTCTGAGATTTGAAGGGGACACAGGTAATAAGGTGTGCAAGCTAAAAAAGGTCATTTATGGGTTAAAACAATCTCCTAAAGCATGGTTTGGCAGATTTGCAAGAGTCATGAAGGAATCTGGGTATAAACAAAGTCAAGGTGACCACACTCTTTTCATTAAACATTCAGCTGTAGGGAGAGTGACTGTTCTTTTAGTCTATGTGGACGACATCATAGTGACTGGGAATGATGAGAAAGAGAAACATGAATTGAAACTGAGACTAGTAAAAGAATTTAAAACAAAGGAACTGGGGAAATTAAAGTACTTTCTCGGTCTTGAGGTGACATATTCCACACAGGGGATCTTCATATCTCAGCAGAAGTACGTGATTGATTTATTGGCAGAAACATAGAAGACTAGGTGTAAGTCAATCTCTACTCCAATAGATCCAAACTATAAGTTGGGGGAGCTAAAGAAGAACCAGCTGTGGATAAAAGAATGTACCAAAGATTGGTTGACAGACTCATATACCTTGTTCACACTCGACCAGACATAGCATATTCTGTAAGTATGATCAGTCAATTATCAGTCATACATGATCCAAGAGAACCTCATCTTCAGGCTGCCTACAGGGTACTGCATTACTTGAAATGCAATCCGGGAAAAGGAATCTTGTTCAAAAGGAATGACACTCTTACTCTGGAAGCCTACACCGACGCTGACTATGCTGGCTCCTGGTGGATAGAAGATCAACTACAGGATATTGTACTTTTCTTGGAGGTAACCTAGTGACATGAAGGAGCAAGAAGCAGAAATGTAGTGACAAGGTCATCTGCAGAATCAGAGTTCAGGGCTATTAACTAGCTATTAAAGAATTTGCAAAGCTTCATGCTTAGAATCATTTTAAAATCAATTGCATATACTAAAAACATTCAGTTTGATGATGAGACCTTGACAACTCTACTGTGACTGAAGCTCTACTGTGACAACAAGTCAGCTATTAATATAGCTCATAATCCTATACAACATGATAGACAAAGCAATTGAAATTGATAGACATTTCATCAAAGAAAAACTGGATGAAGGATTAGTTTGTATGTCCTATGTTCCATCAGAAAGACAATTAGTCGATGTTCTAACAAAGGGGCTGAATAGTTCAAGTTTCCATGATCTTGTATCCAAGCTGGAAATGGAAGTCATCTATTTCTCAGCTTGAGGGGGAGTGTCGAGATGTGTCTGAGATGGAAATAAAATTGGGAGAATTAATTCTAATTCCCTTAATTAAGGGAATTAAATTTAATTGGTAATCCCTTAAATTGAGGGAATTAGAATTAATTTGTAATCCCTTAAATTAAGGGAATTAGTGAAATAGTTTTCTAGTTTTTTCTACTTGTAATCTCCTATATAATACCTTGTATTATCAATTAAAAGAAGTAAGTGAAATTCAAAATTAGTTCTCTGATTTCCCACAGATACTGCCTTCATTTAGAGTTATGTGTGCTTCATCATCTCGTTTCAACATTGGAAAAATCATGCTAATCAGTTTGCTTAAGAATTTATCATCCACCACATATTAGCAGCACCCAACTACTAGATGTGACTGATAAAGAGGGGATCTCATATTCAACCTAAAATACTAGAAGATCGAATTGCATAACACATTTAATTAAGAAACCAATAAAAAAAAAAAAAAAGAAGAACAATTTACCAGCAAAATCAGATAACGGTATCTTGACCTTCGTAAGCATAATTTCGCAGTTATTGGCCCGTCGAAGGTCGATCTGCAAAAAATTATCAATTAACAAAGAGTAAAGTCAGCAGTAAAATCAGTTTTGATATTTTTTTGAGGTACCGCCCGTATTTTAAGTTTTCATGTTTTTAATATGACTTAAACATTTTTACAGTATTCAATGATTTGACTATAATTTACCATTTTGTAAATTCTCCTTTCATTTTTATTATTTCTTATTTTTAAAGTTTTTATTTTCATTTATTTTTAAATTTTATGTTTTCTATTTTTAAATTTTGGTTTGAGGCCTTAACTGTCGTTTTCACCTTTTTCAACCTTGGGCTATAAGATAATAAAGTCATAAATACAGGAAAGCAAAGTAATAGAACAATGGTTGTAATAACTACTAACTGCAAATACAGGAATTATTACCAGCTGAACTCTGACAGATTTTTGACCAAGGGATAAACGCCCACTTGATTTATCAACTGAACCTTGCTCCGAATTTGTAACAGCTGCTGAGAAGAGACTCTCTAGCTCAGACATATCAAACTCTGGAGCCCTACAAGAAGGGGAAGAGAAACATACATGTACAAGCAATTCAGCAGTGAAATCAGGAAAATTTACAAACCTAGCACACAATTCTTATGTATTTACATATCTCACACCTAAACTTTTATATTTACATACATAAAACTTTGGTACTTCAAACCTATGCATGAAAATGTGTAATTCACTTCTTAAAAGTGGCAATAGTGCTATTTTTTATGTCATATTGAAGATTTGCGTGTTATGTGTAAATATGAAAGTCTAGATGTGAGATATGAAAATACATTAGAATTTTGTGCTATGTATGTAAATGCCCCAATGCATTGTCATTGGCAAGAAGAATAACAAGCTTAACCACAAACTTTGAAGCTTCGTCAGCTTTTTGGGTCTCAGCCCATAAGCTTCCCTGCATTGCTCTTGTCACTTTAACCCAATGCAATGGCTTTAGAGAAGTCCTTTTTGCCGGCGACTGTAAACTCCGATGGTTATTGCTCGTTGAGCGGACCGAATTTCGTCCTTTAACACCACCAGGTAGAGTGCTCGTTGCACTAGGAGGTAGAGATCCAGAAGAGAAGCTCATTCCCTTAAAAGGAGCTGGAGGTGGCACTGCTGGAACATTAGGGCCATTAGAATTCTGCGAAGGATGACGATGGTGAGGGGCCAGCATTGAAGACATCGGTGGAGAACATGAAGGTAGAGGTGGAGGTGGAGGTGCAGAAGCAATATTGACTATTGAAGCACGTGGAAAGGTGCTGGATGAATAGTATGAAGGAGGTGCAGGCGGCAAAGGAACTGTAGATGGCATGTCTTTTTTTATAATTGTTAATGTAGGTTGAAGAGGCTGTGAAAGTGAAGTTGTAGATGATATATCATTTTGGCTAACTGTCAACAGAGGGGGAGGGAGAGGGGGAGGGGGAGGGGGAAGGGGAAGGGGAGAGGCTGTAGATGGCATGCCTTTTATGCTAACTGTAGGTGGCAGAGGTGGTGGTGGTGGCGGTGGCGGTGGGAGAGCACATATAGTAGTACTAGGACAGAGAGGTGAAGATGATATTCCAATGGGGGGCAGAGGTGGAGGTGGTGGTGCTGAAGAAGCTTTGCCCTTAACTAGTGAAGTAGCTGTGGCCTTGATTGGTGAAGAAGCATCATACTTCGCTGGCAAAACAGCATTTTCCTTGACTGGAAAAGAAGCATTGAAAATTGAAGGATTTGAGGCTATGGTTTCAGCCATATCCAGTGTTTTTTGGGATACTATTAAAGGGACTGATGGCTTTCTTGAGGCTGACATTAGTGGATGAGGTGGAGGTGGAGGTGGAGGTGGAATTGATTGAGGTATTGATGGAAGCAACAAGGATGGTGTTTGTCCTGAAGTTGATAATGTTATACTAGGAGCTTTGGTAGTTAAAGAAACAGCTGAGTTTGCAATTATAGGACCTACTGTATCATTTCTCGGAAGGCTTTCTGAAAAAGATGAGGACGAAGATGGTGACAGAGGCAACAGAGTTAGAACTGCAGAGTTAGTAGCAGCTGCAACTGGTGAAGATGGTGTTGGCAGTAACTTTAAGGTTTGAAATTCTAGTGATAATGCTGTTGGTGAAGCGGTTCTGACTTCATAAGTCTCTGGCATGGCAGAAATCGTAACAGCTGAAAGTGTTGGAGCAGATGGGGGCAAAGACATTGAATTAGAAACTTCAGATCTTCCAAAGGCGTCATGATCATGCAGTAAGGCTGTAATACCTAGGGTTCCCAGGGCTGAAGGTGCACTATGATATCTCGAAACATGTGTTGGAGATCTTCGTAATGATTTTCTCGAAGAAACTGGAATTGCTTGAGATGATTCCAAGCAGTGGGAAGTTTTCCCAGGTTGAGTAGGATGAGCTTTTTGATTCATCAAACCTGTGTCGGAAGGGTGTTTCGGCGGGGAAATAGATTTATTCATGGGAGTAATAGATGATGAATTGGTGATTACATCATAAGCATCATTGGTTATGAGTTTCGCCTTAAAAAACTCAGGTCTCAAAATCTGAGGCGTGATTTCAGTACTTTCATTTTGTGAAGAAACAGCAATTTGCTTTTTATTTGAAACAGTTTGTGGAGCATCCCCATTTGTGTCCATCCAAGACATATTACTAAATATCTCCTGCACTTTTGCAAAAGCCTCTATTGGCAGGCCATCTTTGTCCCCAATATGTGGAAGCTCAACTAAGATGTGTGAATTAGAGGCATCCATTTCTGAAAAAAGAACCTTAAAAAGAAAAAAGAATCAGCTCAAAAAAACTATTTTGGAAAAAAAATAAAATTAAGAAATAAAAATTCACATACCTCAGCTCTGAAATTCTTTAAGAAGTGGTCCTTAGAATTCCACAAAATGTCAATTTCATCCCGATTAAGCATCAAAATATTTGATCGAATGAAAGCTGTATTGAACATAACCCGGAACATCATTACTTCACGTTCAAGATCGTCATCTAGGTTAATGCACTCGAGCACAACATCACCCTGAATGTGACAATGAATGTCAATCTTAACAAGTTCACAGTCTGCCTGCAGATGGAAAGTATGGTTGTCATATTACACAACAGGTCAGAGGAACTAAGGTATAGAATAAACAATGAATAAAGTGCCAAAATGGTCCCCTGACTGTTTACATGGGGCCATTTTAGTCCAGAGTTTATAAATTTGTCAAATTTGTCCCCAGGTTCTAAATTCAGGCTGAAAAAGTTCTCCTTGGGCACTACTTTGGACCATATTAAAAGAATCTGAGAGCTAAATTAACACTTGCAAAACATCAGGGACTATTGTGACACTTTTTTCAATATATAACTGCAGCCAGTAGAAGAAATTGCATGAGCTAAAAAATACTACAATACTAAGTTTACCTGTCTATATAACTGAATTGCTTTGCTTCTTTTAGGCATCGAAAACAAAACTTTAGGAGTTAGATCATCTGCCATGAATGGATCTTGGCCGAAGATCCGAAATAGGGGCCGGCACCCACCAAATCCATCGAAGTCAGGAATATACCGAAGAATGACGCAATCCAGAGTAAGCGCCCTGTCAAGAGGCGGCCATATGGCGCTAACATTTCTCCTGGAGATGTATTGCAAGTATCTCATCTGTGAAGGCAGAGGATTCAGAGGTGATAGCAACTGCAGCAGCTCCCGTGGAGCCTGCTTGTAGATCATGTCAAGTGTTTTCTGCTCGCCTGTATATTGTTTTCTGTAAATCAATAATCCGGCTAACATGAATGCTAAGACTGGCCAACCACCCATTTCACAATGCATTAATAAAATGTTCTGGTGAGACAAAGAGAGCCAACTCTCGCTTGACCTAAGAAAATGATGGATCATTTCCATGGTAAGCAGCGGGCAGCCTTCATATTGTCGGGGATAGTCCATCACAGTCATGTCATATTCAGACAAAATCTCAGTCAAAAAACTCTCATTTTCTCCCTCCCGAAAGTTAAAAACCATGAAGGAGGAATCAGGGAAACTGTCGCGAAGTTGAGAAACAATGCCGCCCATATAGACCTTATATTCATCGTCTTCCAGGACATCAGTTGTGAAACAGCAATCAAAAACTGCAGGGAAGCAGCGGAGCAATAAGTCATCAATAGTGATTTATAAGATTAATTTCGTTAGCAAATGCAGAATACAAGCCAGGCATTTTAGAAGTCTTATAATAGTAAAGATGGTAACTATTACATATTTCTCACTGAAGCAATTTCACATACTTTCCAATAGATAGGATCTTCTTCAAAAATATAAAGCATCGACCAATTTATTGAATTTATCATTGAATTTGCAATCTGCCAGCTAGCTACTTAGGAGAACACAAGCAAAAAGCTTCTATTCAATACACTAAAAAAAAAAAAAGATTGGCTTAAACTTCAAATTTATTGAATTTATCATTGAATTTGCAATCTGCCAGCTAGCTACTTAGGAGAACACAAGCAAAAAGCTTCTATTCAATACACTAAAAAAAAAAAAAAGATTGGCTTAAACTTCAAATTTATTGAATTTATCATTGAATTTGCAATCTGCCGATTGGCTTAAACTCCAAAAAAGATTGACCTGATGATATCCCAATTGAAGTGTGGAAATATTTGGGAGATTTGGGAGTTTCTTGGCTTACTAAACTCTTTAATATTATTTTAAAAACTAAAAAGATGCCTGAGGAGTGGAGGAAGAGTATTTTGATCCCCATTTTTAAGAATAAAGGGGATGCACAAGAGTGTGCAAATTATAGAGGAATTAAGTTGATGTGTCATACTTTAAAATTATGGGAGAGGGTAATTGAACATAGAGTTTATAAATTTGTCAAATTTGTCCCCAGGTTCTAAATTCAGGCTGAAAAAGTTCTCCTTGGGCACTACTTTGGACCATATTAAAAGAATCTGAGAGCTAAATTAACACTTGCAAAACATCAGGGACTATTGTGACACTTTTTTCAATATATAACTGCAGCCAGTAGAAGAAATTGCATGAGCTAAAAAATACTACAATACTAAGTTTACCTGTCTATATAACTGAATTGCTTTGCTTCTTTTAGGCATCGAAAACAAAACTTTAGGAGTTCGATCATCTGCCATGAATGGATCTTGGCCGAAGATCCGAAATAGGGGCCGGCACCCACCAAATCCATCGAAGTCAGGAATATACCGAAGAATGACGCAATCCAGAGTAAGCGCCCTGTCAAGAGGCGGCCATATGGCGCTAACATTTCTCCTGGAGATGTATTGCAAGTATCTCATCTGTGAAGGCAGAGGATTCAGAGGTGATAGCAACTGCAGCAGCTCCCGTGGAGCCTGCTTGTAGATCATGTCAAGTGTTTTCTGCTCGCCTGTATATTGTTTTCTGTAAATCAATAATCCGGCTAACATGAATGCTAAGACTGGCCAACCACCCATTTCACAATGCATTAATAAAATGTTCTGGTGAGACAAAGAGAGCCAACTCTCGCTTGACCTAAGAAAATGATGGATCATTTCCATGGTAAGCAGCGGGCAGCCTTCATATTGTCGGGGATAGTCCATCACAGTCATGTCATATTCAGACAAAATCTCAGTCAAAAAACTCTCATTTTCTCCCTCCCGAAAGTTAAAAACCATGAAGGAGGAATCAGGGAAACTGTCGCGAAGTTGAGAAACAATGCCGCCCATATAGACCTTATATTCATCGTCTTCCAGGACATCAGTTGTGAAACAGCAATCAAAAACTGCAGGGAAGCAGCGGAGCAATAAGTCATCAATAGTGATTTATAAGATTAATTTCGTTAGCAAATGCAGAATACAAGCCAGGCATTTTAGAAGTCTTATAATAGTAAAGATGGTAACTATTACATATTTCTCACTGAAGCAATTTCACATACTTTCCAATAGATAGGATCTTCTTCAAAAATATAAAGCATCGACCAATTTATTGAATTTATCATTGAATTTGCAATCTGCCAGCTAGCTACTTAGGAGAACACAAGCAAAAAGCTTCTATTCAATACACTAAAAAAAAAAAAAAAGATTGGCTTAAACTTCAAATTTATTGAATTTATCATTGAATTTGCAATCTGCCAGCTATTCACTCTGGAGAACACAAGCAAAAAGCTCCTATTCGATACACTAACAAAAAACAAAAGATTGGCTTAAACTTCAAACAGGCCATCAACTATTTTTACAAGGCCAATTTAGCTCCAACTCTTCAACTTAATCCGTCAATCAAAACAGATCCAAAATTTTCTCTAAGAGAGTAAATTGGGATCAATTTTATATTGTTGATGATTGAATGGAATCATCTTTGTGTCACAATTCTATAAGAAGGACCACTTTGGATCAATTTGTGAGGTTGATCTACAAAATTGGAGAAGTATGATATTCTGAGAAAAATTAACTACACACGATTAGTTGGGGGGATTTTTTGAAATTTAATCTAAAAAAGATATATGATTTTTTATCTTACCATATTCTTTTAAAATATAGCCGACAAAAACTGCATTGCAATCTAACGAGCAGTAAACTATATTTAGAGCTATAATTGATCACAAGAAACATTTAAGATAAAAAAAATAGAGAAAATTCTTTAAGTTGGGAAATAGATCGCCACAAAAATTTTTTAAAAAAAAAGAAGGGAAATTATATTCATTTCAATAAAATACTGCCCAAAAATTCCAATAAATGCCAAAAGTCTTCCCATGCAACTGTATACTATAATATTATAGCTCACATTCACAAATTACCAACACTATTAAGCATCTATGATGCCCTCATCCAAGATATAGAAATTAAAACTTTAAAAAAACATGAGTTCTAAGAAGCATACTTTGCTAAGTAGATCATGAAGGACACTATACAGGCCAAAATTATTTTGCAATCACCTTATATAATGACGACCTCCTCCTGGGCATATAATTGATCACTCTGTCACAATGCAGAGCAACTATTCAAATGAACTAGATCATGACTGAACCGAGCTTCTTTGTCAATCTTACGTAAGTTTTAACACTCCATTATCTCACAACTTTGAATATTTTAGCAAACATAAGATGTTTATCCAATGATTTAGTGAACAAAGAAGACACTTTTAGAGTCTCGGCTTTTACCCCCTTGAGTATGACAAGCTCTATAAAGAGGAAAATGTGATTAACTCATGTACTCTTAGATCACTCCTCAAAATAGCATGGCTACATTAATAATGGCATCATTCCTTCCACGTTCCACCAATGTAGGAAAATTGAATCAATGGCAATATGCAAACATTCAAAAAATTAAATTATAAGACAAGGATAAACATTTTATGATAGTGACAGGTATCCACCTGGTGGATTAAATGGCTTCCTTTGGCTATGGATGTTTAGTTTATAAATTGCATTTAAATAATTTCAAATTTGAGCTTTGACAAGGGCTCTTGATAATAGACTTATGCCAACTTGGGTCTTTACTCTTGCTCTTATAATAGGTCCAATGAGCTAATTTGATTTAACCGTTTGATTTGCCACATTGTTTCATTAAGAAAATAAATCAACCTGTCACAACACAACCAAAAAACTAGAACTTCGGATGTGAAAGATAAGCACAAGCCAAAGCATACTTCTCCTATAAATAAAAAAGAGTTCTTTACCTTGACAACAACACAAAAGATGAAGGCACTATGATGCTTAACGTAAAAGAGAATGAACAGGCAATTCCTCTCAAAATAACAGAAGAAGTCTTGATCCTCCAAATAAGTATTGATTAATCATAACAAATGTAGTAGTGCGACTTGCTAATGCTAAAATATTAACCTCCTCCTTAAGCATTAAAGAGTAGTCAAGACCTTTTATGTCGCTCCAAGGAAAATTTGTGACAAGTGTGGAATCATTTTCTAAAAATTGAAAGAGAAAAAAAAACCCATAACATTCACCAATTACAATAGGTAAGTGTTCACAATGAAGAAACAACACTAATATGGTTCCCCACTACTCCTCACCCGCTCTAAGAAAACTAATCAAAAAGCAAGTTCCTCATGAACAAATGGACATGCTCGTCATTTTCAATAGATTAGAAAAGGAGAGGGTTGAAGCTTTTAAAAATCTAAATCTAAAGATGACCTTGATGAGTTGATCATCGATCCAAAATAAGCTTTTAAAAATCTTGAATATGGTAGCAAAGGTGGTCGTTGTTCCATTTTCAATAAACTTCGAGACCTTTTGTAGTGATCTCATATATGAGACAAAAAAAACATTATTGCTTAAGAGCAAAAAAAACTTCACCTAGAGCCATACACAAATGTCGGATCTATCTCTTAATATAGCAGTCCACAAGCTCTTCGTTACCAGAAAGTACCACATATCAAGTAACCGTCAGGACGAATGGTTGGAAGCAAGCTATCATTGCCCGCTTCAAAGAAGGCACGTTGTTTAGGGATAATTTTGTTGCTTTCCACGTGTTTTAAAAGTAGCATAGTATGCCTCCATGAATGATACACACAACTAATGATCATTCAAACAAATTTGGTTGAGATGCCCTGGACTAATAAAACAAATTAATAATGCTCTAAATTCATGAATAGTTGTGCAATGCTTAATAATCCAACCTAAAAGTTAAAATAAAAAATAAATGTATGGGGGTATTACTAGCTTAATATGGTAAAATATTACATTAAACATGATAAAAAGTACCACCAATGTCAGATACATAAAGACACTTTATATCAACTGCCCAACTAGTTACATCCTAAAGTCGTCTCTTGGTTGTTCAAGAGTTGGGCTATATAGTGATGAATACAAAAAAAAAGGTAAATTTTAAATCCACAATTTAGTAGATTTAGTTTCTTCTCAATCCCTCTCAGTTTTGTCTTAAATTCCGAATTTCATATCCTAGTGTTGTCAAGATTTAGTAAATCTAAATTTACACGATTTACTAAAGGGTTGTTTGGTAGCCGATTTTAAGCAGGATTTATACAGTATTTAAGCTAAATCATGCTAAACGACAAAAAAGGTGTTCGTAAATCCTACAAGTTCTTAAATATTGTTTTTCTCCGTTTTTATCTTGAACCCAGGACTTAATAAATCCTGATGGAAGACAGATTTACCGGATTTAGAGAAATTGGAGCCTAGAGGAAGATAAATCCAATTAAAGTTGCCAAACAATTTTTCTACATTTATTATGATCTACTTATTAACATATCAAACAGTTTTCAAGATTTAACCCCTTCAAGATTTCATAAATTCAGATTTACAGAATTTACTAAATCCTATTTAAACTAAATCCTCCTTGCAACCAAACAACCCCTAAGGTTACCGTGAAGGTACTCACATGATTAGTCTTATAGATCTTCCGCCTTAACTCAATGCATTGATTTATTCTCATGAACACTGACGATCTCTCAAAGTGGGCCAAGGTGATTCATTGAGGGAAGTCAAACAAACAATGTAATGAAGTCTTACAATAAAACCTTATCTACCAAGTTATAGTTCCATGTTTAATCACATTTGACAACGGCAGCGCCCTTGAAAGCAGCAAAAACAGGTTTTTCAAACAACCACAAATAGATTATTGATAAGAGATTCTCGATGCGAAGCAAACTAAATAAACAGACGGCATACCGTAAACCCTCTCGGAAATCTCGAGGAGGCCATCGGGCGGCTTTCGGTAAAAGAACTTCCGGAAGAGC